GCTGACAGGAAGTGATTGTTTCTCTGCAGAAATGGACCCTAGTGAAGCCAAGGACTGCCAAAGACCGCCAGCAGACCCCCAGAAGTTGGAGGAGAGCAAAGGAGGAGATTCATCCTCACGGACCTCAGAAGGAGCCAACCCTACTGACACCTTGATCTTTCTGGCTTCAGGAATGGCCTGTATATTAAAAAAACAACAAAAACATGGTCTTCAGACAGAAGCTGAAATGTGGCTTCTTAGCACTTTTTGCTGGGTTGGGAAGTTGTTGTGCGGGGCTCTTTAGGAGGGGAAAAGAGAAGGTGCTCACTTTATTGCTGCCCACTTTGTCTGTTGTGAGCCTCTCACTCTTCATGACAGACAGGGCAATGAGGACCTGGACAGTGTAGCAGGTAGCCATGACCACCAGGTGGGAGTGGCGCAGGGGCTGAATGTGAGATTGTGAAGAGCAAGGTACCCCATCCAGAACACCTTCCCCTGACCAGGCCCTGCCACAGCATTCATGCCTCGTCTGGCCCAATGCCTTCTTCTGTGGCGAGTAGGGACCCTGGCCTGAAGGTGGGGCAGGGACTAAGAAACAGGGGTGGGCTCTTTGGGGGGGAGGTGGTCTCTAAAAGCACATTATGGATGTAAAAATCCCCTCGCTGCTGTAAAATTCCCTTAAAACCCATCATAGATGTAGAAGTCAAACATGGTTTGGAGAGCAGCTCTGATCGCTTTTTGTCTTCAGATGCAGATCCTGAGGCCCAGAGAGGGGCAGTGGGCTGCCAAGGTCACAGCCAGGATGAGAGACACCCCTGGGGTTTCTTCCTAGTATCCTATTCCCACCCCATTGCTACCTGCCCTTTCCTCCAACGTCCCCTCGTCTCTGAGCCTCTTTACCTCCTCATCCCTCTCCTCTCCTGATATTGTTGTGACTGTAGTGGGTTGAATTGTGTCCCCTAAAGACAGATGTCCAAGTCCTAAACCCTAGTCCCTATGTTTGTTACTTACAAACAGGGTCCTAGGTGACGTAAATAAAGATCTCAAGATAAGAACGCCCTAGAGTTACAGTGGGCCCTCAATCCAATGACTGATGTCCTCAGAAGATACAGAGGGAGGACGCCATGTGGAAACAAGAGGCAGAGATCACAAGGACAGCAGGGATGGCTTGGGGCCCCCTGAAACAGGAAGAGGCAGGAAGGGCCCTCCCCTAGAGCCTTGGAGTGCAGCCCTGCCGACATCTTGCCTTTGGACTTCTGGCCTCCAGCACTGTGAGAGACTAATGTTATAAGCCACCCAGTTTGTGGTCATTTGTGACAGCAGCCCTAGAAAACTAACACATGGACCAAAGCCTCCTCCTGGCCTCAGATCTGTAAAATCATCTGTGTGATGGGCATGAATCCTGCCGCCATCAAAGCCCCCTAGGTAGAGTCCATGTCCCATAAGCCCTGGGCCCCAGGCCTGGTCACAGCGAGCATCCTGTGTGTATACTTAACACTGCATGACACACGTAAAAATGTGTTTCAAGGAAGGATCTCACACTAAGCATTCTTACCACAAGAATTTTAAAGAGTCAGTGCACACCACTGTGAGTGTACTTCATGTCACTGAATCATACACCTGAAATGATAAATTTTGTTGGAGGTAAAAAAATAAAAAACTTTTGTACTCATTGTGATCGCCCCTGTCCCTAACACCCCTTCCCAAATAAAGGAGATGTCGTTTCAATGTCAGCTTTACTCAGGTAACAAAAAATAGATTAGGGCCAGAAGGAGGGGCGTAGGTGGTGTGGGAAGCCACCTGGGGTCACAGTAGCAGGCAGGGGCCTGGATGTGGGGCCTGGGGCCTGGAATCAGAATGGAGGGTGTTTGGAACTTGGCGTGGATGCGAATTCTGCAAACGGTTCCCACACATCTCCAAATGGACCGCCACCTGCAGATGGGAGTCTGGGAGCCTGGCTCCGAGCCAAGGGCGTTTCCCTCACTGCGCCCTTCTGAGAGGTCCAGGTTCTTGCAAGACAGGAGAGGGCAGACGCCTTCCTATCTGGACCCCTAGTCAGTTGGTCTTGAGCCTGGGGCTCTGGAAGGCCGACAGGGAGATGAGGAACTGGGCGGCATAATAGGTGGCCATGACCACCAGGCGGGCGTGGGGCAGGGGCCGGATGAAGGTGTTGAAGGCCAGCACGGTATCCGAGATGGTGAAGAGCAGTGCACCCCAGCAGGCGCTCCCGCCCCTGGCCAGGCCGCGCCACAGCATGGTAGCCAGGGCCAGGGTGTAGGCTGTCAGGGGCAGGACCATGTCGGGGGGGAGGTGCAAGAGCAGGAGGCAGTAGAACGGGAGAGAGGCCAGGGCGACGGGCAGCAGGAGGCCCAGCTGCAGGGGTCTGAGGCCAAAGGCCCAGACATAGAGCAGCTGGGCCTTGGTGAAGGCAGCCACACCTGGAGAACACAGGTTCAGGGCACCCAGTGAGGCCATCGCTGCATCGCCTCTCCACTCCCAGCCTGAGGGTCAGGACCGCCCCCGAGCACCAGCTTCCACCCAGGCCGTGCCACCTCACTTCCTTGGTGGCCATGCCTCCCCTGCCCTTGGGCCACATGGTGGTGTCTGTCTTTACAGGGCTTGGAACTGTCCACCATGCCCCCCACCCCGCCCCCCACTTGCTCCATCCCTGGGCCTGTTTATATGCACACACCGGGCACACTCCCACCACAGTGCTTCTGTGTTTGCTGACCCCTCTGCCTGACCATCCTTCCTGCACCCCCTCCAAGATGTCCCCGTCTCAGCAAGGCCGTCCTCAACCAGTCTACTCAAGGCTGTGACACCTGGACTCCTGCTCTATTTCCTCCATGTCTGCCACTCACACCTTTTAAGGTTAGGCTGCCCAGGGCCTCAATGGAGCAAGTTCCATGAGGACAGGGCTCTGGGTGGGTGTCGGTCACTACCATACCCCAGTGCCTTTGAACACCACCTGGCTCATGGCAGGTGCTATCGGGTAGTCACCCCTGCACCCCAGACCCCTCAGTGTGGAAGTCCAAAAAGGACCACACGGCCCTGCTCCTCTTGCCTACCGTAGAGGAAGGCCTCGGGCCAGATGAGAAAGACGTCTCCGCAGGCTGAGAGCAGCAGGGCCACCTGCAGGAGAGAGCTATAGTCCCTGCCAGAGCAGGCCCGCAGGAATCCCGCCAAGCACAGCACAGGCAGGCACTTGACCAGGGCACCGACCCAGGATGGCTGGTCCTCAGGGATCCAGAGAAGGAAGTAGGTGACGCAGGTGAGGAAGAAAGGGCTCAGGCACCTGCCCAGGTGTGGCTGCTTTGGGAACAAGGGGGCCGCTGAGCCACTGGAGCTCAGCCCAGCCCCCAGCCCCTGGGATGAGGCTCCAGAACCAACCTGAACTTGGGGTCCCAGCCAGTCCCCTGCCCTTGGAGGTCAGGCCCCACTCGACCAAGACTGAAGTCTTGGGGTTTCCATCCCACCCCCACCCAGGGACCCCAGGACTTCCAGCCCCACAGAACCGAGCCTCCTAGGAGGCCACAGCCCCCCATTCCTCCAGGCTATTTGAGTCCCCAGGATCCCAGGTCCAGCCTCCCTCCCACACTCAGGGACTCTCACTTGGGCTGCGAGGTGAGGATTTCGGGGCAGACCCTCTTTCCGGGCGTCCATATCGGCCTGTAACCCCCCGAGTGGCCTGTATGTGGGCACCAATGGCTTTGGGGGTGGAGAGGACTGCGTGTGGTTACACGTTAACCCAGGAGCGTCCTGTGGACTCTGGGACTGATAACAGCTCAGGGAGATGCTCGCCCCCACCCGGGGATGGCCCCGCCTGGCACCTGCTGATAAGGTGGCCCATCAGGACGCAGGGGTCACTCCTCCAGCCCCCCCGGGACCTAGTTTTCTCCCCCTCTGCCTGGGAGGCTGTGGGTACAAATGCCTGTCCTGTAGTCCTGAACCCAGCCAGTCAATGCCCTCCCCTCCATGTGGGGGGAGGGGCATCATCTCAAGTCTCTGCTGGTGGGACCACCACCCTGCCAGAGCAAGAAACAGGACATCCTTCACCCCTCACCACCCTGGGACCCTGAGGCCACCCAGGAGTCCTTCCTGCACTTGGGCCTTTGGGTGGTTATTTCCAGTGGGAGCCCAAACCACGCTGCACTAACCCCATGGCCTTCACCATAAATACTTCCTGATCAAATGCCAATAATGAGTTGTCTGAGATCACCATCAGCCTGCAGCCCACAGCTTTGGATGTCACCAGAACAAAGTCTTCCCACACAGGCCTGGCAAGTGCACTTGAGTCTAGTCTTTAACGTCCCCTCTGGAAAGCACAGACCTACTGGGCACCCACTGGCCTATCTCGCTCGCTTCCTTGGCTGCCCCCAACCACTCACTGCTCCGCCAGAGAGATGGCTCAGGGGACATAGCTTCTGCAAGGTCCCCTCCGTGGTGAGGGATGAGCAGTGGACGTGTGGGGTTGGGGAGACTAAGGGGGCCCTAGGAGATGGTTCCCAGATAAGGCTGGGCAATGCCCAGCTCCTCCTCCCAGGAAGCCCCTTCCTGGGCTAAGCAGAAGCCACTCCCCCAGAAGTGTGTGGAGATTTAAGAGCCTAGTTCCACATTCTAAGGGTCACACCCCAGAGGCTGAGGTAGGTGCAGGGACAGCTCAGGTTCCCCCACCCCATGTCTCAGAACTCAAGGTCTGAGTGGCAGGAGTCTTAAACTGTCTTCCTTTATTTATTTATATTTGCAATATGAAATAGAAGCTAGGCACAAACACACAACACTCACGCCAGCCTGGGGAGAGGGAGCTGGGACAAGGTCACTTGGCAGCTGGGCTGGACCCCAGACGGAGCGTAGGAGGGGGACCCCAGCCAGACCCGTCAGGCCCCCACCCTGGGGTCCATGGGAGGCGCAAGGGTCTCATGAGTGTGTCAGGGCCTTGTGGGAATGTCACCAGGGAGGCCCCCTTGGACTGGGACCCCAGCCCCCAGACAGCCACCAGGCCAGAGGGTCCTTTAGCTCCCAGCCTGGGGGAAAGTGCAGGGTCCAGGGTGAGGGGCTGGGCAAAGGCATGGCCCCCACTTGGGCCCTCCCCTCCAGGTGGACCTGAGCTGAAAGGCCGAGTGTGGATGTGGGTGTTTGCATGGGAGAGGGCGGGCATGGTGGGAGGAAAGGGTGGACTGTGCCTCGGGAACCGCAATGCAGCCCCCACTGGGACAGGGTAAAGGTCCAACCCCCGCCCGCCTGCCCTTGGGGCCTAGCTTCCTTCTGGCTCTTTCCACCCACTCTCTCCTCCCTCAATATATATATATAATATATAATATAGGTCTCTCTCTCTTTCTCTCTACTCGACTCTATATCTTTATTCTAGGAGACAAAACTCCATCATTTCTTTTCTCAGTGCAAATGGGGGGTGGGGGAGGACCTGTCTCCCTGGCACCAGCCTCCTGTAAGTCCAGAGAGAGAACATGGGGGGTGGGGGATAAGGGGTGGGGATGGGGTGATGGGGCAACGGGCCATTGTGGGATCTGTCCTGCCCCTGCCCGGGCAGGGTCCACATGCAGGACGAGGATTTGGCTGCCACCACCGGGACCAGGCAGTTACCTAGGAACAGAGAGGGACACCTGAGGGAGGAGCCCGCCGGCTCACCCACCGCCTCTACCCCCAGCCCCCTGGCCTCTGTCACTCACTGGGAGCCTGGGGACACTGGCCCTCCCGGGGCAGAGGTGTTGGGCATTGGAGGCAGCTGGAGGGCCTGGGCACTATCAGGAGAGATGAACATGAGAGGTCAGTGCCTCCCCCCCAAAACACCCCCCACCAGCTACAGGGCCACTCCATGCTCACCTCTGGTTTTGGGGGAGCCCCGAGGGCTCTGGGCTCTTCTCCCCCTCCATGGTATGGGGGGGCTGGTGGGCCCCAGGGGCTGGGACAGAGGTAGTAGGGTCTCTGGTTGCACTGTGGGGGCAGGTCAGTGGGGTTACCATCAGGCCACCCTGATGGATGCTCTCGCCCTCAGCTGTTTGTGTGAGCAGGGAAGGAAGGCAGGCACACACAGCCCAGCGCTTCGTATCCAAAGACCTTGGGAGCTGTCCCAGGCCGGAGCTCAGGGTCGTCTGGGATAGAGGCTCCACACACTCCTGGCCCTTCCGGAAGCTTCCCTCCTGCCCCTGGGGCTAGGCTGGGGGCCCTGGGCTCCAGGATCCTGTGTGGCACCCATGTGTGGGCACAGGCACAGCCCCGGGGCAGGCATGACCCAAGGGCCAGACTTTGTTCACTTCCCAATGCAGCCCCCCAGAAACTGCTCCCCAGCTGGTCACCTGTCCAAGGACTTGGGAGCAGAGCTTGTCCCTCTGAAGGTGGCCTGGAGGTCCCCGACGCTGACCAAGGCCTGACAGGGAGCTGTGCAGAGCAGAGAGGCCCAGAGATGTGAGACTTGGCAAACTCCTCCAGACTGAAAGGCCAGGAGACAGCAGGGGGAGGGCTACAGGGTACGGTGGGCAGGAGGGAGTGTTAGGTGGACAGTGGGCAGGGGCTCACCCGAGGGCTCTGCTGCTTTGCCGCCATCTGTGGCTTCCTGAGGTGCTGAGGTGGGTGCAGGGTCCTGAGACCTGGGAGATAAGAGAAACAGTCCAAGTGGGCAGCTGGGGTTGGCTTTGGAGCCTAAGGGAATCAGGACATGGCCCCACCTCCCGGCCCTGCCTCCTGGCCTCACCTGAGCTGCAGGGCGTTGGGAGCTGCAGGGCCGGCCCCGCTGGGGGCAGGGAGGTCCTGGGGCATGCAGAGGGGGCCCTGTGAAACAGAGGGACCAGAGCACGGCTCTTTGTCCCTGGAGTCTTGGGAGCCAGTCAGGGCATTTGTAGGCACTGGGTCAAAGGTGGCTGTCCAGCTGGGGCCTAGGGTGAGGGCAAGAGTGAGCATGGCGGGCAGACACCCACACGCCCCCCAACCACATCCTGCCCGCGCGTTCACCCACCCGGAGGCTGAGGGCCGGGGCTGGGGTAAGAGGAGGGCCCGGCCCCTCCACGGACCACCCGGCCATCCTCCTCGTCGTCCTCTTCATCATCGTCCTCCTCCTCCTCTTCCTCCTCCTCCTCGCTGTCTGTGCTGCCTCCACTCCTGTCCCAGAAACCAGCAATCAGCTGCTAAGCTAGGGCAGGGACAGGGTGGGAAGGTGACCTGTCCCCACCTCCCGACTCCCCAGGGCTGACCCCAGGGAGCAGTCTGTGAAGGAATCAACAGATGATAAAAATGGATCGGGGGTGGGGGAGGGAATGGGGGGGACGACGACACACACACAGTGGGGAAGGTGAGGGCCTCCCTAGGCCCAGGGTGTGCCAAAATGCCAGGAGAGCATCCCACGACTGGCAGACAGGTGGGAATCACAAGGGTCAGTGGAGCGTGCCACCGCCATCAAGGGTAGAAAGGCCCCACCTCATCTCCCTCACAGACCCTTCCGGCACCTGAACTGCCATCTAGGGGTAGGGGTGCTGAATTGATGCTCTTCCCCCAACTACAAACTTGGGGGAACTTTTGTCACCACTGTATCCTCAGCTTAGAGGAGCACTGGCATGGGCAGCTTCTCCAAAAATACTGCTGACTGTTGACTTAACAAGTGACTTAGAGACCATGGACAAAGTCATACTGGCCTACATGTCCACCAACGGGGGATGGTTGAGCAAATGCTGAACGTACCCACCGTCTTCATGGTGGGAAGGAATACATCTGCTGTCACTGAAAATAAACTAACACATTTGGCAAACAAGGACCAGATGGGAGCTTCCCAAACCCGCACACCACAACCCACCACTAACACCACACTCAGGGGTGGAAACCGAGTGTTCACTATTGGGACACTGTTGAAGGTAAAACAAGACCTAAATAATGGAAACACATCCCATGTTCATGGGTCAGGAGATGGAATATTACTAAATGGTACACTTCGAACATGACCTATAGGTTCAAGGCCATCCCTCTCACAATCCCAGCCAGCTTCCTTATAGAACCTGACAAACTGATCCTAAAATTCACACGGAATCTCAAGGGACCCCATGAAGTCAATACAATCTTGAACAAAGTGGCAGGACTCATACCTCCCAACTTCCATACTTATCATAACACAACAGTGATCAAGACCAAGTAGTTACGCCATAAAGATAAGACATCTGCACCAGTGGACCAGGAGAGAGAGGAAACCCTCCACACACAGCGAAACAACTGCTGACAAGGGTGCCAAGGCCATCCGGTGGGGAAAGGACAGTCCTTCCCACAAGTGATGGTGCAACAGTGGCATTCCCACATGCGAAAGAATGAAGCTGGACCCTGATTCACACCATGTACAAAAAATTAGCTCAGAATGGATCAAAACTTAGATGTAAGAGCTAACACAATAAACTCTTAGAAGAAAACACAGGTGAATCACAGCCTTGGATTTGTCAATGACACACATTAAGTGCAATGAACTTGGTTAGTTACACGATGGCACACCCGCAGATGGCAAGTGAACATACCCACACTACCAGAAGGAGAGCCTCAAAGCGGAAGGGACAAAACTGATCTATTGGGCAAGATGTCAGGACAGCATCACCCTGGGGAGGGTGAACAGTGGCTGGCAGGGGGTATAGGGATGGTTCCACTCCCTCATCTGGCAAACGGATGTCCATGTGGCTGTATAGTCAGGATCTGTATACTCGTCTGCATGCTTGTTACACATCAATTAAAAAGTTAAAACACTCTAATTCTCAAATCAGAAGCCACGGGGGCAAAGGCCCAGATTTGGGAGCCCTGAGTTGTTCATGCTGGCAAAGCTATGTGGCACAAACCCATTCAGCCAGTGATTCTGGGGCCAGCCACTACTGGAGAAAAAGAACATTTAATGTTTGTACAAAGATCTGGTTATGACTTACTGACACTCAGCCTGAGAGAGGCGGACAATCATCATCTCTCATTTTACTGCAATTAGGGGAAAGAGAAGCTGATGGGACCACCATAGCGCCTTTTTGGGAACACCTGAGTCAAGGGTGGAGGGGCAGAACTGATTACAGATGCACCTGGACCAAACCGTATCTGAAAGAGCAGCCATGTTTTCTGGCCACACACAAGCTGTTACCCATTCCTTTTGTAGTCTAACTCACCTGAATTGGGTTTCTATCACTCAAAATTGAAAGTGCCTAAAGTAATACACACACTGCACTCCCTGTCTGCTTCTCACTCGTTTGAGCTGGTGAAAACTGTTTCATGTGGGCACAGCCCCCACTGTGCTAGGGAGCCTGGAAAAGGAGGCAGGAGGGGGACTTACCGCAGGCCTGGGGGCTGGCCCAGGTGGGCCCCCCTGGCCAGCTGGCCACTCTGCCAGGCACCATCCTCCCCGTCAGACTCCCCAGAACCCTGGCCCTCTTCCTGCTCCTCCTCCTCGTCATCATCAAACTGCTGGATCCGGTCCTTGTAGCATATCTCGAGCAGGTTGGCATTGGGCTGCAGGGTGCAGGGGTGGGAGGGAGGGTGGGTTGGGCTGCACTACACTCAGCCCCACCACCACCACCACCACCAGAGGACAGGGTGGCACTCACGTTCTCATCATCGGCATTGAGGGAGAAGGTGATGTTGGCTGTCTTGTCGAAAGGCGCGCTAGAAGAGAAAGCACCAGAGCAGTGAGGCGAGGCATGTGGGGCACCCACTGGCTAAAACTTATCTGTAACCTGAGTCAACACTTGCAGCACGTTTGTCATTTGTGCAGGTTTGTAAAGCAGTGAAGACGTGCACGTTCCCAGCTGAGGTCCCACACTCCACCCTCCTGTCTCAGTCCCAGCACAGGGATGCCTAAGGGGACTGTGTACAGCAGGAACCAACAGCCCGGCCAGCTGGCCTCACGGGCTGCATCAAGTGTGAATCCCAACTCTGGTACCAGCTAGTGGGGTGACCTCCAGGCAAGTCACTTAACACTTTTGAACTATATTTTCTCTGTTGTGAGATAAAGGAAACACACTCTACGTGGACTACTTATTTGTAGGATTCAAGATTATAATCTGGGTGAGAGATTTACACACAAGGATAAACTTCCATTAGGAGTGGTGGTTCAGTGTTAGCAGCCAGTGAGAAACAAGAACGGAATGTAGGACCAGCCTGGGCCTAATTTTCCTAATGACCCAGCTAACTGAGCCCCATCAGCAATCTGTCACTGTCATCAACAGGCCGAGTTAAACGTCCTCCTACTACCTTCTTTGCTCAATTCTCTGTGTTTTCAGAAAGCTTCACAGAAGTGCAATTCCTGGAGTAAGAAATTAAAGCCACACATTTTAAATATTGACACCAACTGCTGCAAAGAATTTGTCGATTATGCTCCTACCAGCAGACCAAGCAACTTCTCAGCAGCTCCTACTTGTTTTGTTTGTATCCTTTCCCCATTTCCTGTCCTGGGGTGTTGGTCTTCCTCCTGTTCTGTGGTGAAAATTCTTGCCTTTCCCCAGGGCCCACACTCTGCCCCACGTGTTAGGGAGATTTCCTAGGTTATCTGGGAAGTCGTTTCTCCAACTCAGCAAGTATTTTGCCACCAAGATCAAGGGACAAACATGAGTTGACAACTCCTGAGTGCTTGCTGGGCTCCAGTTTTCCTGCGCTTACTTTCTACTGTCTCCAGTAAGGCAGGTATTCCTGTCTCCTTCCAAACGCACAGAATCGGAGTGGGGTCTGCCACGCACAGCACAGCTGCTCAGGTGGGCCACTGACTTGAACAGAGCAGCACCTTCAGCCGAGAGTATAAATATATTCACCCACTTTCCAATCTAGAATGCTTCTCAGCTTTGTTTTTGTTTTTGTTTTACATTTAAAGTTTGAAATTTATCTTGACAGAGGAGTAACAGTTTTGTCCAAAATGGCAGCCATTCATCCCAACGCTATTCGCTGAGCAGTCCGTCACCCCGCTAGGATGGGGCCGGGGCCTCCCTTGGGCAGTGTTTTCCCCAGGTGTCTCGGGATTCTGAGACAGTGACCAGCACTGCTGAATCCTTACTGCCGGGCACTGTGCAGGCAGAGCAGCAAACACGATCTCACATCTATGTCCAAGGGGCCTCTGTCCAGCCATGGGCACGACAGGCCACAGCTGACCTTCACACTGTACTGCAAAGGGTCGCTGACCAGCAAGCATGTGCTCCGTCTCCCCAGCTGTAAAGGAGCTCCCAAGCCCTGAGAAGAGGATGGTCGTGGGCACGTAATGGATAACACTGAAAGGTGCCTGGCACGCTGCCAGGTGATGAAAAGGACAAGCATCGGGTGGCCCCCCAAAACTGAGTCACAGCTGCAGCCCTTCCTGCCTGTCCCTGGATTTCACCCCTTGGACACCCCATGCTAGTCCCTAGTGGGCCAACTGGGCCCTTCTCCATCTGCTTCCTCGCGGTCCACCTCAGGGCATCACAGGCTTATTCTTCAAAAGTAATCTCTTCTAGGGCCGGCCGAGTGGCTCAGTTGGTTAAGAGCTCGCTCAAGAGTTTGAGCTCTGAGCAACAGCGGTTCGATGCCCCGCCCAAGCTGAGCTGCCGCTGAGCTGCCAACAGGTGGCAGGATGGCTCAGCTAAAAAAAAAACAAAAAAAGTAATCCTCTGCTCAGTGGACACAGGCACAACTCACTGTTCCCCAGGCACTTCCCTCAGGAGCCCTGAAAGCAGGCTCCCTAAGGCCCAAGATACACACAGGGAGACCCAGGCCTAGTAGTGGCAGAACCAGGCTCAGAATGGAGGCTCCTGGGCAGCTGGGTAGTACCCTCCATGACCATGGCGGCCACTCCACTCCTATCCCTGGCTCAGTGTCCCCTGCACTCACTCGGCTGTCTGCCCTTCCCTTTGCTGTCTGCCTGGTGCTGTCACAAGGTTACTTGTACAATTTATAAAACATTAGTAAATTTTAATTTTCTTCTCTGACTATATAAGCAACAGTTGCCTGTGGCAGAAAATAAAGAAGAAAATTCATGACTACACCACCAGAGGTGATGATGCTATATGTGGATGCATAACGTACAAATAAGCAGAACTGGTCGCTGGGGAAAAAAAAAAAAAAAAACCTCCTTGTTGCCCCCAAGGCCTCTGGAGGGGAAAGGGGTGGCTCTGGCCCTTAGGGCTATCCTGCCTCTGCGAGGGCCCATCTCACACACTCCTTATGATCCAGGACCCCCATCAGCCTCCCACCAGCCCCCAGGGAGGGAGGAGAGGGGCCCAAGGTCAGCCGCCCTCCAGGCTGAGTCTGAGGGGATACTGGGCAGGAGGTGGGGACACCAGGGAGGACACGGGAATGATGGCAAGAGTAGCCACATGGCAGGTGGCCTCACAGAGGGGCACACTCACTTCACGCTTTCTTCCTGCTCCCCAAACTCCTCGTCGTTAAAGCCGAAGTGGTCGATGAAGGCTGAGGTCATGCGCTGCATCTGGAAGTCCATGAAGGCCTGGGGGATGCAGCAAAGGGCTGCGGTCAGGGCCGGTGGGCCAGGGGGAAGCCAGGTGGGGCAGGACCCTGCTGCCCCACGGCCCCACCTGCTGTAGCACGGCCTCCTCTGGGAAGTTGAACTCCTTGAGCCTGTCGTCCTCGTCGTCACTGGAGGAGTGCAGGTGGTGGGTGTTCACCTGGTGGGCAGGTAGTGGGGCATCAGGGCCTGCCAGAGCCCCCATCAAGGCCCGGGGCAAGGACGGGACTGTGGGGATGGAGAGGATGCAACTGGAGCGAGAGGAAAGGAGCAGCAGAGGTGGGCACAGTGGGGGCCTCACCAGGTCCACCATGTTCTTCTTGTTGGTCTCGGCCAGGGGTCCCGACACGAAGGCCTCCCACTGCTCCTGCTGCTCGCCTGGAAGCTCTGCTCAATGGGAGGACAAGGACGTGAGGCCCCCCTCAGCCTCCAGCACGCCCACCGCCCGGACGAGCCCCCACCTCACCCTTCAGCAGCTGTCCCAGCTGCTCAGCATTGGGCCCCTTCTCTGTGTTCTGCACCAAGGCGTTGGCCACTCTAGTCAGGTGACCCATGTAGCCTTTCCGAGGGCCCCCTGCAGACCTGGGTGAGAGTGAAGACCACAGCTGCACACAAGTGGCCTCACCCCCTGCCTCACCCTCCCCAGGGCAGAAAGGCCAGGGACACTCACTGTACACGGTCATTCTCTCCCCAGGATGTTAGGATGCGCTCCACCAGGCGACACTGCTGCAGCAGCTATGGGAAGCATGATGGCCATGTGGGGATGGGGACCAGCTAGGGATGTCACCCACCGCAGCCAGCCAGGCCCCAGACTCATCTACCGCAGGAGAGGGAGAGACAGAGGCGGCCCCACCACCTTCACTGGGCACCTAAGCCTCTGATCTTCCCACGAGCACGTAGCGCGTCCTCCTCATGTACATACCTGGCCACCCACTTCTCCCCAGAAAGGTCCTTGGCCTGTCTAGCTTCCTCTCAATCTGGACGACAAACCCCAAAGGCACTGTGCCTGCCTCCTACATCTAATCCGACACCCGCACTGAACAGTTCCTCCCTGAGGCCCCAGCTATACCCAGGGAGGTGTCCCCATCCACCGTGGCAGCTGGCACTCCAGGACAGTTCTTCCCTCTGTCCCCCAGGTCACGTGCTACCTCCTGAAGTTACCATATCCACTCACCTCCCCACACATCATCCTCTATTTCTCCCAGGCATGACCTAAGAGCAAGGCTGAGCCTCCAGCCCCAGGATGTGGTCACCCACCAAGTACTGGCTGCAGGACAGGTGAGGGACATACCTGGGGCAGAGCCCACCCCGGGGAAATTGGGGGGGAACCCGGGAGCCCCAGCTCACGTGTTTCACGACAGGGTTCTGGACAGGCATCTCGAGGCTGCTGTCGGAAGGGGGCCCAGCGCTCAGCATGGCACTCACACACACCTCCACTTGGGTGTGGAGGAAGTTGTTGAAGACATAGTGGAAGAAGAGGTCCTGGTGGAGGGGACACAGGCTGGTACCAAGAGACCCTGGCCCTGACCCCACCCCACCCTGCCCAGTAGCCCAGCCAAGCGCACCAGCATGGTGTTGGGCACGTCCAGCGCCAGAAGCTCCTGGGTCAGGGCAGCATCGTTGGCGCTCAAGGCACTGGCCAACAGCTTGACCACATGCAGCCGCGTGTTGCCCAGTGGCGGGGCCAGGGTACCCCATGTTGTACACAGTGGCTCCAGCTGCAGGCACAGGGGAGGCTTGGTTCGCAGCTCAGTGCTGCTGGAAACCAAGGAGTGAACCTCCCTGCCACCTGTTCCCTGGCCCACCTGGGGCGGCTCAAGTAGGAGCTGGTGGAAGCGGCTGAGCCGAGGACGCAGGGCGTGCAGGGTGCCCATGCAGGACACGGTGCTGTCCAGGGTTGCCTGGGCTAGCAGCTCCAGCTGCCCGTCTACACTGCTGAAGAAGTTATTCACTGTCATGGACTCGGACCTGCAGCAGGGGTAGGATTGAGGGCAGAGTGAGCTGCCCAGCTTATGTACACGCACACAGAACATATCTACAAGGGAATGAGAAGCTGCTCCCAGCCAGGAGGCAAGGGTGAGGACTAAGAGGGGAGGCAGCCAGGTGGGGGTGAGCACCTGGGGACCCTGGGGTAGAAGTCCCACTGTGCTTTGGGCAGTAACCCGCCCAAGGGGCCCCAGATTCCAATAGCCAGCTTGGAGCTATAGGTGGTTGACCTGGCCTCAGTTTCCTTGACTGTCAGAGAAACAGGAGGACTTCTCTCCAGGTATGGAAGAACCACCTTGAAGGGGACAACACTTATGGAGACCATGTCCCCTGAACGGAACAGAACCATCCAGGGAGGTCACCCCCTCACCGTGGCCTCCTGGGCTCCAGCAGAGTCAGCAGCACCTGGATCCCACTGACGAGAACAGATGGGCTCGGCTCCCCTTCCAGCATGTTACTCAAGAGCTGCTCGATTGTCTCCTGCCTGGGGTGCAGGAGAGTCAGGGTGAAGGGCCTGGGCCCCAGGACAGCTTCCCTCCCAGGACTGGAGTGCCACCCGCAAACCCACTTCTCCAGGGTGGCCAGCAGCTGGTCGGGCTCTGGACTGTCCTGGACTTGGATCATCTGGTCCCGGCTCAGGCGGATGATGTCACACAGGGACTGGGATGCGTTGGAATGTTGCTGGGGAGGTAGACAGACAGCTGAGGACCCCAGTCAGGCCGCTGGGCCCTCCATGTATCGGGAACCCTCCCATGAGCTGACCACCTGACCCCAAGCACTTAGGGACAGGGGAAGAGCATAGCATGGGCAGGGACACAAATGCTAAGGGAGGGAGCTTGAGGCACTAAACACTGGGAGGGGAGAGACGGCGGACAGAAAGGGGAAACCAAGGAAGGCTTCCTGGAAAAGAATATATCCCACAGAAACCCTGCACCACTGACAGGAACCACTGTTTACATCCACCACTGGTGAATGGACAAGCAATCATGGTCTGTCAACAAGTGAAATGTTCCTTAGCCTTAGAAAGGGACACAGCACCAACATGCTACAACATGGATGCACACAACACGGTGCTAAGGCAAACAGGCCAGTCACAGAAGACCACGCATTGTGCGATTCCCTGTATACGAAATGCCCAGAAGAGATAAACCCAGAGACACAATGCAGACTGGTGGCTGCCGGGGTCTGGGGGACCATGAAGGGGGAGGGAGTGACAGCTAATGGACACAGGGTTTCCTTTTGGAGAGATGAAAAATATCCTAAAGTCAACGTGGTGATGGTTGCACAACTCTGTAAATATACTAAAAGCCACTGAACCCCATAAATGGGGTGGGCTGCATGGTACATGAACTCACTCTCAATAAAGCTGTCACCGGAAGGAAAACAGGAGAGAAGCATGAGCAGAGTGCTGAGTCTAACCCAACAGGCAGCTGCCAGGGCCCCCCCACGCAGACCCCAAACCCATCCAGGCCATGGGCTGCACCTCAGAGCCCAGCACAGGTGGCCCGCCACCTGGCTCACAGTGGGCGCTCTTGTCCCTCTGCCACAAAGGCCTGAATGGTCATCACCCTCCCGGGACAGGTGCTGGCTGGATGACAACCAAGACTCCACAAGCTGCCGGTGAGGACCCAGGGCCTCTGGGTGAATTCTCTGAAGAACAAGCAGGACTTGTCCAGCCATAAGAGATGGAAGGAGTGGCAGGCCACAGAGCCAGCACCAGAGTGAAGGAGGGTAGACAGTAGCGAGAGCGCCAAGACAGAGCCTGGTGTCAGAGGACTGTCACCAGGTCGCTGACCCCTCAAGGGAGAATGGACCAACTTCCTGGCTCCCTGGAAACGTCCCATGGTGTGTAAAAAAAACCCTTTTTCTGTTCTTTTGTGGCCCCTCTGAACCCTGGGGGTCAGTGAGTCGGAGAGAGTGCGCTGGCAGTTCCCAATGCTCCCTTTTCTCATCAATTCCGCTCTGACGGGAGGAGGCCCACATGGCTGGGAGCAACAGGTAGGTGGGGGGCACTCACATTGTCATCTTTCGACGGGTGGATCTGCTCGATGAGCCGCTGGACGATCTTCTCCTCGTTGAGCCACTGAGGGTGAGAAATAAGGTGGGGCTCCGCTCACTAACCCCGCCCTGGCCCCGCCCCACCCCCAGCACACGCTGCTGCGCTGCTTACATTGACCACGTCCTGCCTCAGTTGGGGCCGCTCCACGCACGTGAGGAGGCGCAGCAGCAGGTCCATGATGGCCGAGGTGCCAATGTGCTGCAGCAGCAGGTCCACGAAGTCGTCCTTCTTGCGCAGGAAGGACACGAGCTGGGGGCACAGGCATGTCAGGTGGCAGGCCCTGGGCTGCACCCACCCACCCGCACAATAGCCCCAGGAAGGCAGCAGGCACCTGGTCCGTCTTGCGGTTGATGAGTATGCCCATGACCTTGCTGAAGAAGCTGGCCAGCAATGGGTTGAGGCAGCTGTCGCTCTGCAGGAAGCCATAGAGCCGGTTCAGCAGGGACTCATCAGCACCCAGGGCATCGTTGATCTGGGGCACATCTGAAGTCAGGATCTCGCAGGCCACGCTAGAGTACCTGGAAGGAGTAGGCTGTCAGTTCCAGAAAGCCAGGCAGATGCGGGAGAGGGCTGGCAGAGCCACCCTCACCTCCCTGTACCTGCCCCCAAAGCAACATCCATCCTCCTGACCCCTACTACCAAGCCTGTCCCTCTACCTCCAGGACATCCACCTGCCTGTCCCCGTTGCCGTGCCCCAGCCCAAATCACCATCAGAGCCCCCCTTCTCAGTCTGTTCTAGGCCCACCCCGGGGTGATCTACCTAAAACCCACCCTCACCCTTCGCCTCCTTCTCCATATACTCGCAAGAAGACCGCCCAGCCCAGCGGCCCACCCAGGGTCCCAGGTGGCCAACTACAACCAGCTCGAGGTGCCCTGTGAACGAACTGTAGAGACCCTGTGTGTGTTGTCCCTGAGGTCCTTGGGCAGGGACACCAGGAGCCAGGATGGCACAGGTGTCAAAATGGAGGCTCCCTCAATCTCCCTGCTTCTGTGAGCCAGAGCCCTGTTCTGGACAGACAGAGGTCCGAGCAAGGAGGGAGAAGACACACATGGTGACAGGTATCTAATGGACAGATGGACTTCAGGAGGCACGGACTACATCTTGCTGATCCTGCCAGATGTGCCAGGTCCTGTGCCAACCTCACCAAACTCCCACTTTACAAAGGGCAAACTGAGGGGCAGCCCTCACCCACGCTCCATCTAGAGAGGAGAGCTGGGCAGATGGTGGCACCAGGGAAACAGAAGGGAGGATGAACAGGAAGCAAGGCCATGTGTGGTATGGACAGTGCAGGGCCCAAGAAGTGCAGCAGCGACCAGGGCAGATGAAAGCCCCCAGTTATGGAAACGATTCCAACCGCGCCCCCAACAGGCCCCTGCCAGCCTCGCCCCCAGCACACCCCAGGGTCCTAAGCACCCGGAGTGACAGGTGGCGGTGGGGGCGGTAGGAGAGAAGAGCAGAGAGCAGCACACAGGAGATGACGGCGGCCACCTATGGCCTGTGTCAACTCTGCTCACAGCTGTGCCCTGTGTGCCTGGCACCATTAGGCACCATGCTGGACACGGGCAGGCCCCTCGCCGCTCATTCTCCAAAAAGGGAAACTTACAAGAGAATTATAGGTAAAAAGACACTGTCTGGAATTAGGGGACTTGCTTTAGATCACACCAGGGCCTGCAGGCTGTCTCACAGTATCATCCTGGCTGTGACACTGTGCTATATTTTGCAAAATGTCACCATTGGAGGAAACCAGGGAACTCTATACTCTCTCTCACAACTGCATGGGATTCTACAGTCATCTCAACAAAAATCCAACTGAATAAAACACCATGAAAAAGAAGTTGAGGGTGGAATGGGGGCCACTGAAACAAGACTGCCCAGATGCTGCTCCCTGGGGCCCAGTGCAGGACCCATGGAGCTTGTCCTACTCGTCCCTCCACTGGATGCTGTCTGCAAAACCCCATCATAAAAATGCTTTTAAAAAGCTTATCAGGGGGCCGGCTGAGGGGCGCATTCGTTAGGAGTTGGCTTGGGACACCAGCTCTGAGCAGCAGGGCCCTGGTTCGGATGCCACATGAGAACCAGAGATGCTGCACCCTCTATAGCTAAGATGGTGAACAACAGCTCGACCTGGAGCTGGGCTGCCATGAGTCGCTGGCAACGGCGTAAACTGCAGTAGGGCTGGCTGGCAGCGGGTCTGAGCCACCATGAGCCGCCGTGAGCGGCCGTTCAATGGCCGTAAGGGACTGCCTCACCCGGGAAGAGCACAACGATAATACCAACATGGGCCAGTGAAGCAACGTCCTCCACAACTAGACTGAAGAACAAAAAGGACAGGAACCTGTCTGTTCCCCTTTGCCGATTCCCCAATAAAATCTTTAAAAAAAAAAAAAGCTTTATCAGCAGCTGTTTGGAGCACAGGCTATATAGGTCTGCACCCAGAGGCCTGGCCTCTGCCTGCCTCAGTTTCCTCATCCCCACAAGGGAGTCAGTGAAATCAACAGGGAGTCAGAATGGGGTGGGGCTCACTTGTAGCGCAGCCGCTCCTCGCCGCTGGCTGGCGGCTCCTGGGTGACCCAGGACACCATGGCCTGCAGGTGCAGTGGCTGCAGCAGGAAGTCCAGCAGCTTGCGGTTGACGACCTTGCACTCCTGCAACACGTCCTCCTCATCCAGCAGCTCGGGCAGGCTCAGATCTTCCCGCTCCAGCAGCGCATCCAGGTGCGAGCTTGTGTGCAGGTCAAACTTCCAAAACATGGCGCCCTGTGGGCAGGGGCTGTCACACACTGGCCCTACCCAGCCAAGCACTGAACCCCGTTGTTTCCCTCTGCCTCTGATGCAGATCGGAAGTCCAGGGAATCACTTTACACCTGAGGCCAGCTGTCCTGCCCGTCCCTTGGTCCCTAGGTTCAGAAAAGGCCTCGGAGTGTGGACTGATGCTGTACACTGAGCGACCATGGACCCCACCCCCACACAAAGGCCTGTGCCTACTGTCCCCACATCTGGGCAGGGACCCCCTGGGGCAGGGCCAGAGCCATGTTCATCCGGGAACCTCTGCCATCAAACTCGCTTCAATCTGTGTTGGCTAAACAAACTCAAGTGCCTCATGATAGCCAGCATGTGGCTGCCATCCAGCCCAGCAAATCACCACGTGGTGCAGGGCGTGGGGCGGTGGCAGGCAGAGGGAAGTCTGTGCTGTTGCCTGGATCACAGACACACACACACCCACCCACCCACACACCCAAACCCATCCCCACCCATGGCCCAGGACAGGAAAGAGGGAAATGGTGGTGGCTCCCAGGACAGTCATTGACCAGAGCCCAAAGGAACCAGGGCAAATGGGGTAACCAGCTCAGTAGGGAGGACAGGTTGGCTCCCACCACCTGGAGGATGGCATCCTGGCTCTGAGGCTGGCACTCAAGACCCTGCATGCCTGGCTATGGTCCGCCCCCAGCACTGGTGCTAACCAGTCTCAGGAGCATCTCGTGTGGAGCACTCACTGGGTGCCAAGCAGGTCTGAGCCCCCGTGCCCAGACTCTGTTGCCCCTGAGGAGCCTGCAGGGCCCCCAGTCCTCACCACCAGCTGCAGACCTGCCCTACGCTTGCGCCAGACTCCCAGGCCACTGGTCCCCACCCAGCCATAGTGCTGGGCACTATGCCCACATCCGCTCCAAGGAGCTGCCATTCCATCACACAGTGCGCGACCCGTGCCTAAGGCAACTGGGGGCTCCACTGCACTGCACAGGCACTAACCAGAGTGCACACTTGTCACCTACTTTGTGAAGACCACCTGGAGCAGAGGCCACTGCAGAGACAGACCTAGAGGCTGCAATGCCCCTCCTGGGCACCTCCCAGATCGGCAGGTGCCAGTCCCTCTCCTATGACGCCCTCTGTCTTCTCTGCCCCACTCCACTGTAGTCATGGAGAGCATCCCAGCCACAGACGGAGCACCAACCCAGGGAGAATGAGACTGACTCAGAAAGCTGCCGGGGCTGGGGCTAAGTGGAGCCTGCAGGTGACTGACCTTCTGAGCCTCAACCCTTTCAACATACCGCCACCACACCCAGCTTTCCTTTCCAGCCTCCACAGGACCCTCACTCACCTCAGCTGTCCTCCCAGCCCAGGGTGACCTTCTGCCCATTACCAGGAACAAGAAGCTTTAAATCACAACAATCCTGAGGGGACTCATGTCGGTTCCTAAGCCCTGGCCAACCACACCTGAAGGTGGAGTGGAGGAAGAGTCCTGTGTGCGGAGACAGCCCTATCCTACCACACTCAGGGACTCACCCCAGCCCTCCACCTACCCCCCCCATCCCAAATCGGACCATTTTTCTGAGACAAATTTGAACACATGTTCATTCCAGGCCAAAACCCCGTGATGACCTCTCCAGTCTCCGCTTTCAAGGCCCCAAGGGCCCCTGCCCACCTCCCAGCTCCGGGACATGTGTCCCAACCTGCCCAGCATGCACAGTCACAGTAATGACACAGGTGCACTACACATGCCCTGGCCGGATGACAGAACTGCACAGAAGTTCTTCACCAGGCTGCCACGAGCACCCGGGGACAGCACCTAGCACAGAACCCGGCACTCGAAACGTGCTCAGCAATGTTAGCTGAAAGACACCCTGCCTGCAAACAAACCACCTTTCACCAGGCCCTGCCCGAGGCAGGAGGCTGCCATAGCTTCAGCGCAAAGGGAGTGGGGCCCACCCTGCCCCCCCAGCCACACTCAGGGGCTCCCTAAACCACAATCACAAGGTGGGGTGGGCTGCACCAGGGGTGGAGTGAACTACGGCTCCAAAAGGAAACCAACCAGCAGCCCCGCTCTGTGAATGTCCAGCTACCCTTCGCACGCCAGCAACCCCTACCTGTGCCCAGAGCCTAGACTTTCTCGAGGGACCCTCCCACACATCCTACCTCATTTGATGACAAATCTACAATAGGGCCCATGTCACAGGTGAGGAAAGTAAGGCTCAGCAGAGGCGATATACCAGCCCCAAGGTGCTGATGGCCCAGGGACAGACTTCCTGAGCTGGATGGACCTGGGACCAGAATCATCTCAAGGGGCAGCCGCCTCCCGGGGCTACAAGAGGCAGGAACCTGGATGTGGTAAGAACACCACGTGTTTCTATATTGGAGACTTTCTCGTGGCAAAAAGGAGACTAGAGAATCCAAAAGGCCACCCTAGCACAGTGAGCAAAGCAGTCACGAAGGAACATAGGCATATGACTCCATCCATGTCAAATGTTCAGGAGAGGCAAAACCACAGGGACAGAAAGCAGATTAGTGGTTTTCAGGAGCTGGGAGAGATGGAAAAGGAAAGGAGGGTACAGGGTTTCCTTTTGGGAAAGGATGTTCTAAAAAAGCCCCCAACACTTCTAAAATCAATTATATACAATTTTATTTGTCAGTTATATATACTTCAATTGAAAAAAACCCATTGTGGTGAAGGGTGCACAGCTCTGTGACTACTAGAGACTACTGAATCACGCGCTGTAAATGGGTGAATCGTACAGTGTGTGAATTACATCTCAACAAAAACTGTTACCAAAACAAAACCAGAGCTGTCTGAGCGCTGTGCCAGGGCGGGGCCAGGCCTAGGCCTCAACTCCACGTCCTAGTCACCAGTCACCCCGAGCTGACAAGGCGCCAGCTGCCCACAGAGCTGAAGTACATGAAAGCTCCACCCTGGGGAGCCCGCCCAGGTTTCCCCTCCTCACCACCCTACCACTGTTCCAGAGCTAAGTAGGCAACCCCCAACTAGGGGTCAGGGCAAGGCCCAGCCAACATCTGCAGAGAACCTGTGTACTGCACGTGGCACTTTATCTTGTCCCATTGAGATGACAAAGTATAGCACTGTTTTTATTCCCATTTGATAGAGATGGGGGCCCACAGAGGGGAGCCCTGGCCACCAAGAGGCAGGACCAGGAATCTGCGAGCCGTGTTCTCCTGACTAAAGGTTCACCCACTCCCAACGTACATGGTTAGGGTGCAGACTATGGCATCATCCCCCTTCCCTAACCTACCTCCACCTTCAGACAACAGATCGGACTTCCCTCCCAAACCTGGCTTTCCAGAGAACCAGGGTGGGTTTGGGAGGGGTGGGGGCCTCCACAACAGGAAAGGAGGAAGGAAGCTGGATGGCATGAAGTATGGATTCCAGGGGCCTCACAACCCAGGTCACCTCTCTGAAAACTAGGAGGCTGCAAGGCCCAGATGCAATCAAGTGGTGGTCGTACGGTACCCTACACACATCACTTCTCAAGCTCTATACAGAACAAAGATGCAGATGTAGAATTGGAAAAAAAGAACAAACAAAAAAGAGGAAAAGAGAGAAAAAAACATTCCCGGCCACAAACTCAATTCACTCCAGCTCCAAGTCCTGTTGGTCAACCTCATGTTCTCACTTAATGGGGGGATAGGAGTAGTGGGTTTCCTTCTCACGCTTTAACAGCATGAACCTAGGCCAGGCAGCTGGCACCCCAGACCTATTTCCGGTCTGTGAAATGGGGGCACGGCCCACCAGGAAGGCCCATACTCTGAGGACAGCCAGGTCAGGCACGCGCTAAGCAGGTTTTGGCCCCTTCCTATCTGTCCCTGAAACCATGCTGAAGCCCGGACACTTCTAGTAGGAAGGAAGGAGACCACCATACACTGGGTGACGGTGCTAAAAACAGAAGAGCAAGACAGAGAAAGACTCTGCCTGTTTGGCTGAGTGATTCAAATACACTGGTGGGCGCCACACACCCCGTCATCCCCACCCTTTGCAACTTTTAGCAAACGTCAAGAAAACGGAAGTGACTACCACTGGTTTTTAGCGACTGGTTGAAAACCAAGACTGGCTGCAAACGGAAGAAGGGGAAACTGTAAATGAGAAAGGAAGCCATTAAAAAAACAAACAGCACCTGTCCATCCGCCAGCTCTGCACCATGGCCTCAGGCTCTCACTTTGCTGTGCTCTCAGGCCTCCCGCCTGGGCTCAGACAGGGCCTGTCTGCAGCTCCCACAGAGCTGTCCCCACTGTAACTGCTGCTGCCACCACCCGTCCAAACAGCTCCACTTGCCGGGAGTCCCGGGTAGATCCTTTTTCTGCTACCCCTTCCTGCCTGCCTTGGCCCCAAAGCGCCCGGAAGTGGAAGTCAAGGGCGCAGAGGCCTCTGGGAGGGCCTCCAAGGGGCCACCTGAGCTGCCCTGAGGCTCAGCAGAGTCTTCAGCATTGGGAGAGACCATCTGGAGTCTAGTGACTGCTGCCACCCTCAACCATCACAGGCCGCCAACTGTTCTAATGAGACACAGGCAAGGTGAAGCCCAGGAGGGGAGAGAACCCCTGGTTCCCAGCCCCTGGCAGGGGCATTTCAGAGGACGAGGAGATCATCTCCCTCCAACCCACTGTCAGCTCTCAGCCAAATCTGTAAAGGGGGTGAGGGACTTCGGATTCCAAGGACAGGAAGATGAGTGCAGGACTGTGTGTTTGTGTGTCCACAAAACGAAACACAGACCTAATAAGGTAGGCAGTGGGAGAAGGGATCACTGAGGCCACACAGGAGGACAGGCTGGGACCGTATTGTGGCTCAGGAAAGCCTGGTGGGGGGAAAGGGTCCCCAGTTAGAGTCACCTCAGGTGCCTCTCCCTCTGACCACAGACCACTCTCCCAAGAGAAGTGGCTGTTCTGGTCCATCCCCAGGAGAATGAAGTAATTAGGAAACAAGAGACAAGACACCTGGCCAAGGACTGAGGAGGGGCCCGAAAGCTCACATTCAGGATGGTCTCCTGGATGGGTCTTAGGTTCAAAGGAAAAAAGGAAAAGAAAAACAAATAGAGTCTGAAATGACCCTTGGAAAACAGAGGTGAAGACTGTGTTACAGGCGATCCAGTCAAAAAGAGTCGGGGGGTTCCAGTCCTAGCTGTCCAAATTGAAATCTCTAAAGACCTAACTAACCCCACGAAGCCTGAACTCCTCACCTGCAGTCACCTGTGAGATACCACATGGTGATGGTAAGACCACATTTCCCATGGGAAGGTCCATAAAACTGATATTCAAAGGGAAAACTGTGGCTCAGCCTCAAAAGGAGGATGTGCCCTCAACCCCAGTGCAGAGCCTGCCCTCTAGTCCGGGAGCCCAGGAACACCAGGAAGGCTTCTCATTCTCACCAAAGCTTCTAGGTCTCTCTCACCTCATCTCTTGCTGCCACCCGCATGGCGCTCAACACTCCCGCCACACCTGACTGCTCCTCTGCGCCCTCGCCTCTGCCCTGGCTCAGCTGCTCCCTCTGTCTTCCTCCAGCCCTTCAAGCCTGACTAGCTCCTCCTGGGTCCTTCAGGCTTCAGCACAGACACCACTTCCTCCAGGAAGCCTCCCCTGACTGCGTTAGGGGCCTAATCCACACTTCCACAGCTTCCGCGGTCACCGGGTTACAGCATCTGAGGGCTCTGTGACAGCATTTGCCTGTTTAGTCACCTGCCTCCCCCTGCTAGATACCCACTTCCCAGGACCTAGCGTAAGGCCAGGCCTACAGCTAGAGGTACTAGTTGAAGGAATGAAAGCTGAAGGTCATTCGGCCATAGGACCTGAAAAAAAGTTGTGGGGGTTGAGGGAGAACGAGCATTCTCCTCCAATGGAAACAGCAGATGACCTAACAAGAAGTACTAAAAACAAGTCATAATGTACAACACACAGCCACTCACAGGTAGCAACGGAGCAGACAAGCCAAAATTACATCACACCCAAGCAAGAGAGCAGGGTGTCCCCGACCACAGCCCCACTGACACAATCTGACACGCTGTCATGGGACCGTCTTGTGCACTGTAGGATGCTGAGCAGTGTCCCTGATCTCTACCCACCAGGTGCCAGTAGCATCCCCTAAGTTGTGACAAAAAAAACACTGTTCCCGTAGGGGACACAATCACCCCCAGTTGAATACCACAGTAGGTAACCCCAAACCAAATACTAACCCGAAAAGCTGCAAATTCTGGAGCACTGCCCGCGCCCTGCAAACTGCTCCAGGTTCCTATAAACGGTGCACTGAACCCCCAGAACCAACCTGAGAGGAGCCCTGATGTCAGCTCCACTTTACACCCCACTGGCATTTCCTTACAATTCTGAACCCCATACCACACCTGACAACCCGTCTTCCTTTAGAGATACATCTTGCTTTTTGGGCTGGTGTTAATAGTAACACATGCATCCTCAGCACAGATGTACAGGTGTTATCAGAGCAAGCAAGAAAGACCCAGCCATAAGGTCATCGTAGAGAGACCAGAGGAGCAGCCTCCCCAAGGTGTCAGGCGACTCCCTCCCAATACACTGCACTCTGGGCGCACAGACTGCTGTTGGGTTCCCACTGTCACATATTTGCACATGCTGTTCCTTCTGCCCAGAAGACCCTTCCCCGGTCCATGTCAACTCCTACTCATCCTTCCTAGACAGAAAAAGCCACCAGCTGAGCCAGTCTCACCAGTCCCTCTTCAGCGGTGGGGCCTCCCACAGCACCCTGACTTACCTCTATCACACCACCAGTATTGTGACTATCCAGCTCTGCCTTTGTCTCCCAGGGCTGGTCCCTCCCTCCCTCCCTCAGAGCCCAGCACCAGGCTCCCTGCCCTGCCCTCAGGAGGCCTCATCTCAGAAAGTGGGACCAGTGGTGGCTGCTCCACAGAAGTAGCTCCCAAAGCCTAGCTCACAAGATGCCAGGGCCACGGGGCACGAGACCCTGGTCAGGGTGAAAGGAAACCCCACTCCTCCAGTCATCGTGAGCCTAAAGATGACAGTCAGAGGCCATGGAATCTAGGATGGCAGGCGACTGGGACAGAAGAGTAAGGGGTGTCCAGGGAAGGGTCGGTGAGGAGGAAAAGGTGAGGGTGGGTGAGGGGCGGAGGAGTAAGAGAGTAAGGTTGAGTCCAAGGGGGGAGGAGGTGGGAGTGTGTAGAGAGAAGAGACTGGGGAAGGTGGGATAGGAGAGGGGAAGGCAAGGACACACTAAGACACTAGAGGAGAGCGCATGGAAGAAGGTGGGGTGGTAGTGGACGGGGGTACGGGACTGAAAGGGAAGGAGAGATGGGGTGAGCTGGAGGCAGTAGAGACTTGGAAGGTTGAAGGGAAAGACTAAGAAACTTAAGAGACTCAGGAGAGAGACTAAGAGGCTTGGGGGCTGAGGGAAAGAGACTGGGAGAAACCCCCAGGGAGGCGGGGAACGTCCGAAGGAGAAGGGCTGAGGAAACTCGACGGGTACCGAGACGAGGCTCCGGGGGACCCGGGGCGCCCGGCCTTGGGGAGGGCGCCGGGGCGGCCGCTCACCTGCGTGGGGGGGCGGCGGCTCCTCGCACTCGAGGCTCATCGGGGCGCCCCCCCCGCCCCGCTGCCGGCGGATCCGGCCCTGCTCAAGGGCCCGGTACGTGGGGGCGGGGGGCGGCGGTGAGTAACGCAGGCGCTGGGGCCGGGGCTCGCGCACGCGCTCTTGGGCCTACAGAGGGGGCTCACTCGCGCGCCGAGTTCCAGAGTTCGGGGATCCGCGCCGGCTGGGTGCGGGCGGGGGTCCGAGACTGCCGGTGATGTGGGAGCAAGTCCCGACCCGGGGCTGGAGGAGGTCAGTGGGGTCGCGAGGCTCGCACAGGCTCTCAGCGGGGAAGCCGCCCCAGTCTCCTGCGGCCAGCGCCCCGCCGGCAAAGGCCAGTCGCGGAAGACGTCCTCCACAGTCTGAACAGGCCGCAGTGTTGAGCGGAAACCCACAGAAGCCAAGTCTCACTTGCTCCACAAGCCCTTCCCCACGCTGGCTGAGTCTCCCGGCTTTGCAGTCGGATTCACGGCCTCCGAAGCCCGTCTCCGTCCGCCACTATCCCACAATTCCCCCAGCGCAGGGGCACACAGTAGGCCCCGCCCTCCTGCCGTCGTCTCGGTGTGCGGAGGCCGCGCGCCCGGTCGGCAATGCGCGTGCGTATGGGGCCAGGCTGCTCCCGACCCCGCCCAGCCAGAACACCTCCTCCTCCGGTGCGCTTGCGCCGGTTGGTGCCGACGGTCTCCCGAAATAAACCCAGTCTACCCAATACGCAGGCGCCACTGCACACCCGATAGCGCTTTGCTCTAAGGCTTCGTTCCAAAATCCGGAGGAATTCTTGCTCCAGAATTTCTCTTCCTACTCGCTTCGGGAGGAATTTATTCGTTATTCTATCTCCTCCAATCACATTCAAGCTTTGGCTCCAGTGGGAATCCATGCCGGGTTTCTCTCCAACCAGGGCCACGCGCGTGAGTCCCGCCGGGTTCTTTCCCGACGTCTCTGTGCCTCAGGCTTACTTCAGTCCCACTACCAGACCTTTGCTCAAGCAGTGTCTTTGCTACTGCCATTTGCTGCACAAAGAATTCTGTAACAACATCGACTGGAAGCGTTCTCCCAGACCTTGTATCAAAGTTCATTAAGGTCCCATGTGGCTCTGGGCCTGTTTCCCCAGCTTTCATAGCCCCCCTTGCCCATGCTACAGGCTCATAAGGATGAGTAAAAGGATGTAAAGATTTAACTTTTATTTTTAACCTTCAGTGTCACCTTTTTCATTTCAGGGACATTTTATTGAATCATGTTTGAGTGTATTTTCCTGTTCTAGATGTTTGTTCTCTATTTAAAAGATGCTAATTATGCATTTGTCCTTCACATGTTAGTTTCTCTTTAATTGCTTTAATCTTTGTCATTTCCTCCTGCATTCACTGATTACCACATCTGTAATTTGATTTTTCAGCCGTGTCTCTTCTGGTCCTTGCTATTTCCAGTATATTTGTTGTATGTGATGTTTTTTAGTCCTTGTATCAGGTAGCGACTGCTGTGTGACAGAGAACCATAATAACCTCAGTGGCATGTATCATGTTTGCAGCTTGGAGCTGCAGATGTGAAGATTGGCAAGCAGAGGCCCGTATTTGCCCAGTGCTGTCTGTGACCAGATAGATGGGCAAGTGTCTAATGCTGGGGTAAAATAGCAGCAACACTGAAACCACTTCCTCTGATTGGCTGTAATAGTAATAAAGGTGGCAATTGATCTCCAATTCTCAGATCCTATAGATATCTTTCAGTTGATCCTGAATTTGGCAAGAGGGGTGAAAATAATTGATCCCTCCAAAATCCCGAGTACAAGTAAATTCCACGCGAGAGAAATTAGTCTGGCATCAAACAGAGCTAGGAAAACCAGGATACAGGACATAGGAGTACAGTTTCAGAATTAGCTTAGGTCTGAATCCTGCCTGTGAGAACCTGGCCACAAATTAAACACCTTGGGTGCAGCTTCCTCATCTGAAAAACGATGGTCAGGACTCTTGATTGCAAACGACAAAACCTTTAGCTAAACTGAAAAGCAACTTATTAAAGGAGGTGAGGCAGTCCCTCTCTACGCCATGCCCCGCCATCTCTGAGAAGGCTAGAGAGAAGGTTCGGTGCTTTGCAGTCCAGAACGAACCCCACGCTCAACCACGGGTCTGTCTCGGGCACACAGACCCGCCTCCACCACCAGTGCAGACATAGCTGCCAGACCTCCAGGCACCTGCTCCATCAGCGGGCTCTGATTGGTGGGGCTGAAGTCATGTGAAGTACACATGCACAGGATGCTGGGAAAGAACACGTTTCCACCTTAGGGCAGGTGGCAGGGCGTCTAATGTGGGGATTTCCTCAAACCGAGGAGAAATCAGAAACGATGGGTGGGCAAGAAAGATGGGTGTTGCCCCACACCCTCTTGAAAGGCCGGGAAAATGAAAGGAGACAATGGCTCTGGATTTTAGAGAACAACACTTTTATTATTCCCAAGTTCCGCTCACTGACGTCCCCTCCAGTGGCTCCCCAGGCCCCCTAATATCAGCCCCTTCCCTCCCTAGGCAACCTCCAGAGAAGCTGACAAAGGCGGCAGTGAAGGAGAAAGAAATACCTTTATTGGAAGACAGTGTGGACACAGAATGGGGGAATGGCGTGAGAGCATGAGGTGGGGTCCAAGGAGGTGGTGCCTTTCTCAGCGCCCCTCCTATAGGCAGAGCAGAGATGGGCTGGCATGCCCCGGCCTGGCACCAACAAGGCCCTGTTCTCCCTTGGGAGAGGGCCTCATGGGTGGGAGGGAGCCAGGAGGCCTGGGGTGCCCACATAGAGGGGGCCAGAAGCAACCAGGTTTCACCGATCCATGCTGTCATCCGTTGGGCTGGAGAAACAGGTCTGTAGCAGCTTTTCACAGAACTCCAGCTCCTCCTAGATGGGGCGTGGGGGGTAGGCAAGAGCCAGGGCCCTGAGGGCAGAGGCCAGCCCCTGCCTATAGCACACCCTGCATCCAGTGATGGTCCTCTTCCCTCCCCCAAACCTGCCTGCCCCAGAAGCCTCCCAGGGTTCTCCGACCTCTGCTCAGATCCATGACTCACTGTTTCTAGTCTCACCCAAGTCTGGACTACAGAACTACACCCCAAGGTCTCCCAGCCTCTGGTCATACCTCACTGGTCTGTCATCACATCAGCCCCCTTGGGCTCTTTCTAACTCCGATAAAACTGACCCCTACTTATCCCTACTTAAAACCCCTTCCACAAATAGAAACCCAAGAAACGAAGAATGAAAGCCCTGATGGATTGGACCACATAAACATAAAAGGTATCTTCATGGCAAAAAGATGCCCGACACAAAAATGAAAGAAAAACAAGTTGGCGGGAAAAATGATTGCAACTAATCACCAAGGCTAACATAGTTAACATTTAAAGACCTTTCAAAAGTCAACTGCAGAAACCACCACCCAGTAGCTAAATGAGCAAAAGATATGAGTGAGTAGTTCACAAGAAAGAAAAAAGATACCTAACTTACGGGAGAAATGCAAATGTTAACTGGATTCACCGATCAGCTTGAAAAAAGGTCAAACGGTTTTAGGCCATCCTGTCCTGGCCAGGATGTGGGACAGCTGGGCACCCTCGTGGCTGGAGTGTGGACCAGTTCAACCTCTATAGAGAGCAACTTGGCAATACCTAACAAAATAGCCCTTACCCCTGTAACTTCGCCTTTAACCTACCCTAACCAGGCCTTCCCCTTTCTAGCAATTTGTTCCATAGACATACTCACACATGTAAAGTGATATAGGTAAGTGGTTATTCTTTTTTAGCAGTGTTGGTAGTAGCAAGAGAGTGGAAACAACCTGCACATCCATCAAAAGGGGCCGTGACATGAGAGAGGCTCTCCCTACTGTCCAGCTATACGTGGAAAGAGGAAAGAACCTGCACCCAGCACACTCCTGGATGTTATGAAAGGGAATGAGGCAAGGAGCAGGACATGGGGCAGGACATGCTGATGTGGCACAAAGTGGAGAGAGGAAGAGGAAAAGAATTTGCATGCACAATTGCTTATTTGTGCATAGATTAGCACAGGAAGGCCGCAAGAACTGAAAGAGGTATTGGATGGCTAGGGAGAAGTTGTTCTTTATCACTTATTTGTTGCTTATCTATTTAAATAATTGTTACTCAGAATCTATATAATTAACCATCTAATTAGTGATTTGTTATCACTGATTTACTTCTCTATTTAACTAGCTAGTGAGTTTTATTTACCACTGTTACTTATCTAATATCTAATGACTTTTTTGTATTTTGTTTTTGTGTTTTTATATTTTATTGGGGAATTGGGGAAGGGGAACAGTGTCGGGGAATTGGGAAGGGGAACAGTCAAGTTGTTGTCCTTCAATCTTAGTTGTGGAGGCGCAGCTAGATCAGCTCCAAGTCCAGTCGCCATCCGGCCACCTGTCAGCAGCTTGCGGCTGCTCAGCTCAAGGTGCCGTGTTCAATCTTAGTTGCGGGTTGACATAGCCCACCATCCCATGTGGGAGTCGAGCCAGAAACCCTGTTGCTAAGAGCACGCGCTCCAACTACTGAGCCATCTGGCCGGCCCTCTAACGAGTTATTGATCACATATTTGTTATTCATCTATTTAATTATTTAATTGCCTGCTGTTTATCTTTCACTTGTTATTTATCAATCTAATAAATATTTAATTATTAAATATTTGAATATGATGTGAATAATTTGGATAATAATTAAATGAATTTGTTAACCCTTTAAGAAACTCAGAGGGGCCGGCCAAGTGGCTCAGTTGATTAAGAGCTGGCTCAAGAGCACAAGCTCTGAGCAACAGGGTCGCCGGTTTGGTTCCAACAGGGGCCAGTGAGCTGTGCGTGAGCTGTGCGTGAGCTGAGCTGCTGCTGAGCTGTCAACAACAGGTGGCAGGATGGCTCAGCTGGTGAGAGCACATGCTCCTAACAATAAGGTTGCCTGTTTGAGATGGTGGGCTACACCTACCCACAACTAAAGACTGAACTTGGCACCTGGAGCTGAGCTGCCGCCCGGGTGGCTCAGTAAATAGAGCGTGCGCTTTTAACAATGAGGCTGCTGGTTCGACTCCCATAGGATGATGGCTGTGCCCACCCGCAACTAATTGAACACAGCACCTTGAGCTGAGCGGCATGACTGGACTTGAAGCTGAGCTTGCTGCGCCCTCCACAACTAAGATTGAAGGACAACTTGGCTATTCCCCTTCCCCAACACTGTTCCCCTCCCCCAATTACCCAATAAAATCTTAAAAAAAGAAAATAAACTCAGAGTTATGTGTTCTCCCTGCCATCCCCGGTACTAACACAGCAAGGGGCACAAGGGAGGTAGCAGTAATGTTTGCTGAATGGGTGATGAGAGAAACACATGAATGAAACGTAAAGAAAGCACAGAGAATATAACAGAGAGGCCCATGGACAGGGACCCCACAGCGGGTCCCCTTGGCCGATACCTGCCAGCCCTACCTGGTACTCCTCATGCTGCTGCAGCAGCTGGCAGCGGTGGCGGAGGAGCTCCTCCAGGCCCAGCTCTGGCTCCCGGCACTCCCGCACGCCCTGGGGAAAGTCTGTCACCAGGCTGTGGGCACAGGAAAGCAGTCCTTGGGACTTCCCTCTGCACAGCGCTCCCACAGGAGCCTAGGCAAGACAGTTCCCCCACCAGGCCTCAGTTCCCCCATCTGCGAAATGGACTTCACACTGCCCCCACCCTACCCCAGGACTTGTACAAAACAGGGCACTTAGCACAGTTCCTGGCCTGGAGCCGACACTGCACATGGGAGCTGCTACCCACTTGCTCTGCTGCTCTAGACTGTCATTTCTTTAGGCACTAATCTGCTTGTACTGTGTGTATGTGAGGGTGGTGGAAGGGGTTTAAGAAAGCCTCTCCCTCCTCCCTGGGATGCTGTGTCATTCCCCTACAGGTGAGGAAACTGAGGCTCAGAGAAGGCTAGCACCCCCTCCCAAAGGGAAGGCACAGACTCCTGGGTCCCAGGAAAGAGGCTGGTAGGCCAGAGCCCAGTGGTGCCATCTGGGAGGTGGCGGTGCCCACTGCAGGCCGCATTCTCTGGGGCCCCAGCACACCTGCAAAGGGCTCCAAGCACGTGCTCATGGAAAGGGCTGTGTTCTGTCCGGACGAGGGCCACCAGCTGCTGGACCATCCCCATGGAGCACAGGGTCCCTGAGAGAAGGGTCTCATGGGTCAGAGGGGCAGACCCTACCCCTCCTCTGTTCACATACCCCCTCCCTTGTCCTACCACCCAACCTCCCTTGGGGACCACCCCAGACCCCTCCTGCCCCAGACGCCCCACCTTTGTGTTCCGGGTGGCCCACGAGCAGGTTCTGCAACAGGAATGCTGACTTAACCTTGAGCTTTTGCACGTGCTGCTGCATGGCCCGCATCAACACAGAGAAGCCATCTAGGCGGAGGAACTGCAGCAGCCCAGCCTCCTGCTCCCGGACCAGGCCTGGGGGAGGGGAGAGAGGGCGAGGTCCCAGTCACCATCATCATCACCACCACCACCACCACCATCATCATCATCACCATCAAACCACCATCACCACCATACAATAATCACTATAACCATCACCACTATAATCATCACCACCATCATCAACATTAATTTTTTTTTTTAATTGGGGAATTGGGGGAGGGGAACAGTGTTGGGAAATTGGGGAAGGGGACCAGCCAAGTTTTTGTTTTTCAGTCTTCATTGTGGAGGATGCCAGTAGCCATCTGGCTGCCCATCAGCAGCTTGTGGCCTCTAAGCTCAAGGTGCTGTGTTCAATCTTAGTTGCGGGTGGGCGTAGCCACGATCCCATGCGGGAGTCGAACCAGCATCCTTGTTGTTAAGAGTGCGCTCTATCCACTGAGCCATCCGGGCGGCAGCTCAGTTCAAGGTGCAGCATCACTGGCCCATGTGGGAATCGAACCGGTGGCCCTGTTGCTCAGAGCTTGTGCTCTTAAGCCAACTCTTTAGAGCCACTCAGCTGACCCCATCATCAATTTTTTTTTTTTAAGATTTTATTGGGGAATTGGGGGAGGGGAACAGCGTTGGGGAATCGGGGAAGGGGAACAGACAAGTTGCTGTCCTTTTGTTCTTCAGTCTAGTTGTGGCAGATGTCGCTTCACTGGACCATGTTGGTTTTATCATTGCACTCTTCCTGGGTGAGGCAGTCACTCGCCAGCCATTGGACAGCTGCTCACAGCAGCTCACTGCAGCTCACACCCACTGCCGGCCAGCCCCACTGCAGCCGGCAACTCACAGCAGCCCAGCTCCAGGTCGAGCTGTTGTTCACCATCTTAACTGTAGAGGACGCAGTGTCACTGGCCCTCATGCGGGATCCAAACTGGGGCCCTCCTGCTTAGAGCTGGCGTCCCAAGCCAACTCAACCAACGCGCCACTCGGCTGGCCCACCATTAAATTTTTGGGGGCTGCACTTCACAAGCATTATTTTTTTTTTAATTTTTTTAAATTGAGATATAATTAATACAAGCTGTTAGAAGAAAATGCTGCCCCATCCCTCCCCTCACCACGCTCTGGCTCTTGGTACCTCTCAGGCACCAAGTTCATCTGTCTGCCCTTTGTGGCCAAGTCACCCCAGGTCTGTGTGTCCATCTGTCTCCCCAGTTTTGGACGTGACTTTCCAAATGCCACCTTCTCCAAGACTCCTTCCCTCACCCTTGCCAGAATTCCTTCCCCCTTCTCATCATCTCCTCCCATCCAAACCCTCCCTTTCGTTTTCCCAGGGCCACCATAATAAATATATATTTGGTCTCTGTCCCTGGTTTCTGACACCAAATTCCTAAAACCCTTGGAATTTTCTGGGTGATAGGAGCATCTTTTGTCCTCTTGAAACCACTCTGGGTGGGCTCCTGGATGGGGGCTGATCACCAGAAGGACCACATCATGATTAGAAACTTGGAATTTTCAGCCCCACCTCCCATCCTCCAGAGAGGGGAGGGGCTGGAAATGGAGTTTATGATCCATCATGCCTACATGAGGAAACTTCTATAAAATCCAAAAAATATGGGGTTCAGAGAGCTTCTGGGTTGGTGAACACGTCCCTGTACGAGGAGGATGATGCAACACAACTCCACGGAGAGAGAAGCTCTTGTGATCAGGACACTTCCAGACCTTGCTCTATGCACCTCTTCATCTGGCTGTTCATCTGTGTCCTTGATCATGTCCTTTACAATAAACAACTAAACATTAAGTCAGTATTTCCCAGAGTTCTATGAGCCATTCTAACAAATTATGGAACCCGAGGAGGGGGGGGGGTCAGATAAACACAGAGCTGCCATGTAACCCAGCAATCCCACCCAAGAGAAATCAAAACAAATGTCCACACAAAACCTTGTTCGCCTATGTTCACAGCAGCATTATTCACAATAGCCAAAGGGTAGAAACAACCCTGACGTCCAACTGGTGAATGGATAAACAAAATGTGGTCCGTGCATAAATGGAATATTACGTGGCCATAAAAAGGAAAGAAGCAACACAGACACACGCTATAAAAGTGGATGACCCTTGAAAACATGATGGTGAGTGAAAAAAGCCAGACACAAAGGCCCATGTCTATGATCCCAGTGATTTAAATGTCTAGAACAGGCAAATCCACAGAGACAATAAGTAGATTGGTGGTTGCCAGGGACTGGGAGGGTGGAGAGATGGGGAAGGACTCCTAAAGGTACAGGGTTTCTTTTGGGGGTGACGAAAGGGTTCTGGAGTTAGGAGGTGGTGATGGTTGCATAACCTTATAAATATACTAAAAGTACTAAATCGTACACTTAAAAAGGATGAATTGTATGCCTGTGAATTATATCTCAATAAAGCTGTTTGAAAAAAAAAAGGAAACAGTCAAATGGGGGCCTCCACCATAGCACACACAGATATTGGGTTGTCGGAAAAGTCATGACATATTTTTTGTTTTTCGTTGCAAAAAATGCGTCATGACTTTTCCGACAACCCAATAGATGGCCCAGCACAGGTTCAATGTGACCTTGGAGTGAATTCCATGTGTCCTCGCAGGGTGCCCTGGGCTGCCATTCAGCCTCCCTGACTGGCCTCTCTTCTATGTGGTTTCAGTCATCCCTCCCTCAGAGGGAGGGTATGAGGACTAAACAAGTGAACACCACACAGGACCTGGCACAAGGCAAGCGCCCACACAAGCTGGCATCATCCCCATCGCCGACCTGGCACCTGTGGCCCGGGGGCAGCATGGTGAGAGCTACTGGTATCTCTAACGGGTAGAGGCTGGGGTGTTGCTCAACATCCTACATTGTACAGGATGGCCCCCCATAATGAGGAATGTCAACAGGGCTGAGGCTGATCACCCTGATGGGCACAAAGCGCTTAAACTTAGTAATGTTCCTGTGTTGTTAGGCTCTGGCTCTGAGGAGCAGGGGGCTGGCGAGCTCACCGCCCTGTTCCCAGGACCCAACACAGAGTCCGGACAGGTACTGGGAATAAATAAACAAATGAGGCCCCTCTCCCTCTGCCCCCAAGCAGATTCCTGCAGGCCCGCCTCCAGTGCCAGTTCTGGCTCTCAGGGACACATGCCCCTTCCTGGCAGCCCCCAGGACACTCACAGGAGATGGCGAAGAGAGCCTTGACGCGCACCGAGTCGCAGGGGTCCCGGTCGAGCAGCCGCAGCAGCTTGCGCAGGGCACCCAGGCCCAGCACCTGCTCCTGGATGGCTGCCACGTTCTGGCTGCATGTGCCAATGAGCTGAGCTGCCCGCCACCGCAGGCCCGCGGGCCCCGCTTCCAGGTACCGGCCCACCAGCAGGTGCATGCCTGACAGCTGGCAGAAGTCTGTGCCACAGGGGAAGAGAGAGGCTGGGTGTTACTGGCTGAGCTGTGTCTCCCCCCGCCCCGCCAAGAATTCATACGCTGAAACCCTAACCCCTCCTCACCCCCCCAGTGCCTCAGAATGTGCTGTCTCTGGAGATGGGGCCTTTAAGTAGATCCAATCTGACTGGTGTCCCTATGAGAAAGAGGAGATTAAGACACACACACACACACACACAGAGCCAGGACTATATGAGGACACAAGAGGAGACAGCCATGTGCAAGCCAAGGAGAGAGGCCTCAGAAGCAACCAACCCTGCAGAGACCTTGATCTTGTACTTCCAGCCTCCAGGACTGCAAGAGAATCGATGTCTCTTGTTTAATCTACCCACTTTGTGGTCCCTTGTATTGGCAGCCCAAGCAGACTAATATACCAGGTGAGTGCAGAGAGGCAGGCTGGCTCCCAGGGGACCTGCCGACAAGTGGTGGCTGTCTCCAGCACCCAACTGGGGGGTCCCTCCAAGGCCGGTGTATCTCAACAATGTCAGCATTTGGGGGGGTTAGAGTCCCAGGCTCCAGCCCACTATATGCCAGCACTGACCCCACCTCAACCCCAGTCTTTGTGACAATCGGCACATCCCCTGTGGGAGAACCACACACTAGACCAGAGTTGGCAAATGATAGCGCACTGCCTGTTTTGTAAAGAAAGCGGTATTGGTGAAAACCTGAAATGCAGAGTCACCAAATGACCGATTCTACATATATGTCCAAAAGCATCGAAAGCAGACTCAAACAGACGCTTGTACATATATGCTCACAGCGGCATTATTCAGAACTGCCAAAGGAGGACATGACCCAGATGCCCTTCAACTGCTGAACGGATACACAACATGTGGTCTGTCCACACAACTGAGAGTAAAGCTCCATACAGGCTACAATAGGGAAAAAAATCCTTGAAAAAAAAATCACACTCGGCGAGGGAAGCCAGTCACAGAGGGTCACACAGTCTATGATTCCATTTACACAAAATGCCTAGAGCAGACAAATCCACACCCTCAACGACTACACCACACACCTCTAAATGGAAGTGGCACCTTGTCACTAGCCCATTTAGACCTTCTATCAGCTCCACAGCATTTAGAATAAGACCTACGATGCCCACCTCGGCCCATGAGGCCCTGCAAGCCCAGTGTCACTTCCCACTCCTCGCCCCTCACTCACTCTGTGCTGCCGTGCTGGCTTTACTGCTGTTCCTGCACATGCCAGGCATGTTCCCACCTCAGGGCCTTTGCACTGGCCATTCCCTCCTCCTGCAATGTTTTTTCCAGAGCTAATCCCATGACACACATCCTCATGGCAGGTCTCTGATCAAATATCTCCCCTTAGGAAGGCCTTCTGGGACCACCCTGCCCAGAATTGCCCCTCTCTGTTACTCTAGGGAGTGACAGTGAACTACCATACCAACAGACCAAGACGAAATGGCCAGTTTGGAGGCATATCAGGAAAGTAGTGGACTGAACCTGCTGCCAGGCTGGCTGTGTGGGATGGAAGAAGGTGCCATCATTGTTCCTGATGGCAAGGGGACCAAGCAGGAAGAGACAGGGAAGTCCCATCTGGGGCTGGTGTCACAGCCAGGCAGGAGAGAGACAGCGTGGAGGCTGGGAGGCCAGGCAGGAGGCCAAGACAAAGGACAAGGGCTGAGCCACGAGGACACGAGCTGACAAGGTGGCAAGACATACAAGGGAGGCCAGGAGGCAGAAGGGGCAGGGCACTGGCAGCTGGGGGCAGGCTGGGCTATACCTGCAGCGTTGTCCATATTTTCACACAGGTCAGCCAGCAGCTCCAGGGCCCCCTCACGCTCCTGCTGGTCCGAGGCCAGTTCAGCCTCCCTGGCTGAGGGAGGCATGGGCTGGGACAGCACTCGGAGGCAGTTCTTCATCTGCTCCACCTCCGCCCGCTGGCCCCGGCAGGCAGCTGACATGGCCTCCTGTAGCCACTGGCGCCTCTGGGGGATGAGGTGAAATGGGAGGGTAGGGGGGAAAAGCAAACTTTATCAATAATTAATTCATGAATAACAGTCGTTAATAATAACTGCCAATATCTGAGAGTTGACTGTTCCTTCAATCAACAGATATCTGTTGCACCTCTTTTCTACCAACAGACTCTTCTATTTTTTTTTTTTTTTAAGCTGAGCCATTCTGCCACATGTTGGCAGCTCAGCGGCTGCTCAGCTCGGGCCAGGCATCGAACCGCTGTTGCTCAGAGCTTAAACTCTTGAGCGAGCTCTTAACCAACTGAGCCACTCGGCCGGCCCAACAGACTCTTCTAGACACAAGATCTATGAAGAGACAGGCTATAGGGTGGGAGACAAAGAGATAGGGTAGGACTCCTAGGTTTTTCTTCAGAGCAACTAGAAGGAGATGGGAAAGACAGCAGGAGAAGCAGATGTGGGGCAGGAGGAGTAAATTAGAGCTCGTTTTTGAACATGTTAACTTTGAGGGATTTATTATACACCCACAGCAAAATGTTAAATAGGCTGCCTGTAGTTCAAGGAGGAGGTCCAGTCTAGACCTGGGTTTCTCAGCCTTGACTGACACTTTGAGCAGGATAGTTCCATTGTGGGGCCACTCTGGGCACTACAGGGTATTGAGCAGCATCCGTGGGCTCCACCCACCAGATGCCAGTAGCACCAGCACCCCAGTTTGTGACAACCAAGCATCTCTCCACACATTGCCAAACTCCCCTGGTAGATAAAACCGCCCCCAGTAGAGAACCACTGGCCTAGAGATGTACATTTGAGAGTCGTCAGGGTAAAGCTGCAACATGACATGAGATCACACAGGAAGACAGCGCAGATAAGAGTCCCAGTGCCTCCATCGTTAAGAGGCTGGGGAATGAGGAAGAACCAACAGAGAAGGTAGAGAGGAACAGCCAGTGAGCAGAATGAAAACCAGCACACTATGTCGTTCAAGAAGCCAAATGAAGCAAGAAATCAAGGAGGGGACGGTAATCAAATGCTACTATTCAGTCAAATAAGGTGAGCGCTGAGAACTGGCCACTGGAAATTTTTTTGCCAGGCCCTGTGTTAAGTGCTTATACGAGGGCTCTGTCATCAAAGTCCTGGATCAATTTGGGCAAGATGCTAATCTTTCTGTGCCTGTTTCCTACATTATTGTCCTAAAGGTTCAAAGACATCACAGGTATAACTAGATTAGCGCAAGGTTTCATATACAGGCAGGCGTCAGAGATACTGCAGATTTGGCGCCAGACCAGTGCAATGGAGAGAATCACAATAAAACGAGTCATAATCTTTTTGCTGGTGGAAGGTTCTGCTTTCAATTTGTAAGTAACGCAACATCCATGAAGCACAATAAAATCAGGTATGCCTGTAATCACCATTGCCAACTAAATGTCATACATAATATTACTATTAATCTCCAAAACAACCCTATGAAGTATTATCACCACTTCACATGTGAGAAAATTGAGGCACAGAAAGGTTATGACCGGGCAGCCGGTTAGCTCAGTTGGTTAGAGCACAGTGCTCATAACACCAAGGTTGCCGGTTCGATCCTCACACGTGGAGGGCCACTGAGATGAGCCCTCCACAACTAGATTAAAACAACTACTTGACTTGGAGCTGATGGGTCCTGGAAAAAGTTCCCCAATACAAAAAAAAAAAAGGTTGTGACTTGCCCAAGATCACACAGCCATCTGCAAAGCCTGAAATCAAACCTAAACAGTCTGTCCAGAGAGCCTCTGCTCTTAATAACGCCCTGCTGCCTTCAGGAGCACTGCCTAAGTGCCCAGCGCTGTGTGGAGCCCTACTTAAACTGGAAGCTCAGAATTACCCTAGGAAGTACCGTCATTATTCTTATTATCATCATCAGTTTGCAAATGAAGAACTTGAGGCTCAGAGAGACTGAGTGATATACCCAAGGTCACCAGCTGGATAAAGTTGAATCCAGGTATGTCTGGCTCTAGAGAACCCTTGCTTTTCTTTTGATGATAAGGTTATTCTGCCTCCCGGCACTGTGCTGGGACCCAGGGATCTGACCTTCAGACACTCTTGAGACCTGACCTTCATTCAGTCTACAATAACCCCATCTAGCACAAATATAGCCTACTGTGCCTTCACACCCAGACTCCCTACCCCCAGACAGGAAAACCCCAGCTTCCAGCTCCCCAACCCACGCTTGCCAAGATATATCTGTCCCCACCCCCCTCACTCCAGTTTCTTACGCCCCACCCTTTACCTCCTCACTCATGGGTTCTGGAGGGGGGTCTGGCTCCTCAGAGCTCGCCGTGATGGCCATCTGCAGCAGGCCTTGGAGGTTGCGCGGGGGAGGGGGATTGCCCGAGCCCCCCGCAGAGGAGCCACCGCTCCCTGACGAGCAACCCTGGGAAGCTGGGGGCAGTGCCAGGGGGAGGCGGCTGCCCCCCGAGCCTTGGTCCGCCATGAGCTGTTTGTGAAGAAGGGAAGAAGGTGTTGGGGCCGGGTATGGTCACCGCTGAGGTAGCTCTGGCGTCCTGGCGGGTCGACTCCTGGGGGTCTGCTGAGAAGGTGGCGTTTTAGGAGAGCTCGGCGCCCGCCCATGACACCAAACCACTCTGCCCACCGTTTAACCACTGTCCCCTTTCCTTCCTTCAAACCAAACGAACCCTTCCTTCAAGTCACAAGCCCCGCCTTCCTCCCTAACAGACCACACCCACTCTCCCTAGCAACCTAGCAACCCCCTCCCCATCTCCACTGCATGCGTCCCCGTTTCTTAGCAACCCAATTGCCCTGTCTCCAGAGCAACTAGCCCCCACCTTGGTCGTCTTATCAAAGATTCCTCTTTCTCATCTCCGAAAAGGGAGCTAGAGAGTGGCGGATCTCACCTTCCAGGGCCTTGAGTCACCGCCGCTGCTAAAGACAGAGTCGTCCGCACCGGACTCTGGTGGGGGCCGCCATCTTAACCGGAAATATTCATGGTCTCACCCGGAAATTCCCGGCGCACCCACCCAATTTCGGGTCGTAGCTGAGTCTGAGGCGGTTGCCCTGTTCTTAAGCCCTTCCCACCTGGCTGGATACCGCGCTGGGCCCCTCCCCTCACCTGCCGCTCAGTCTAAGCCCCTCCCTCGTCCCGATCCTGTCCCTTAATGAGCCCTGCCTCTTTATCCTCCATGCAAGCTCCATTCCTGCCCTGGTGTACGCCCCGCCCCCTAGGTCTGGCTACGCCTCAGCTGGGCCCCGCCCACACCCATGTTCCCCTCCTCCTCTACACTCTGTCCTTCCCCTCCATCTCAGGCTCCGCCCCTGTTATAAGCCTTTCGGCCTCCTCCAGCTAAACCCCGCCCCCGTGCCGGTGTGCAGGCCACTCCCAGTTAGGCCCCGCCTCCACCATGAGCACACACCTTCTGTGATCACACCCCTTCTCTGGCCCCGCCTCACCACGTCATTGCAGGTTGTGCATGTCCCTCACCTGCAGGACTTTTCCCCTCCATTTGAGCCCCCACCGTCTTTTTTTTTTTTTTAAGATTTTTTTTTATTGGGGAATTGGGGGAAGGGGAACAGACAAGTTGCTGCTGTCCTTTTTCTTCTTCAGTCTAGTTGTGGAGGACGTTGCTTCACTGGCCCAAGTTGGCACCATCATTGTGCTCTTCCCGGGTGAGGCAGATCAGTCTCTGGCTTCTGGACAGCCGCTCAGGACGGCTGCTGGCCGCTCACACTGGCTGCTGTAGCCCATGGCAACCCACTGCAGCCAGGCTTGCATCCTATGCCGTCGCTGGCGACTCACAGCAGCCTAGCTCCAGGTTGAGCTGTTGTTCAGCATCTTAGCTGTAGAGGGCGGTGTCACTGGCCCTCATATGCAGCCACCATCTTTTACTGGAGCCGTCGGTTCTCACCCCTATCTGACCTAGGCAGCCTTTGACCCACCCTACCCCTTCTCTTGGCCTCCGTTTCCTCACTCATCAAAGGGAGCTGCCTGTTCTCCATGCTGCAGCTTGAGCGCAGACCCCTCTTATCACCTCTCCCTCCTGGAATCTTCCCTGGGTCTTGCCAGGTGCAGAGGAGCGGGATTCTTGAAGCAAATGCCTAGGTGAGGTTGTTTGGGAAGAGTGCAACCTCCAAGCACCACATTCAAGGCTCAGGGCTGGGACTGTGCCCCTGCAGGCCTGGTCTGCAGAGGTGTTTGCTTTGGCCTGAGCTTAAGGAAACCCTAGTTCTAGTTTTCCGTAAAAGACTGTTGCCTGTCTCCTTGAAGCTGCCGACTCGAATGCTCCTGCGCACTGATCATAAGAGAGTGTCTTGGAATGCTAAGACCCGAGGGAATAATCTCGGTGAAACTTCCTTATCCGGTGGTCTGGAATGCTGAGGCCATCCCGGGGATCATACTCTGTGTGATAGCACAACTTGTGCTTGATCACAATGAGTTTCAGTGAAGCAGCTGCCGGTTTAATCAAATCAATTAACTGGGTATAGATATTCAAATTGACTTCTTTGTGACAGTTGTAAATAAAACTTATTCGCCTGCCAGTATCAGGGCTTGCTCTCTCAGTCAGCAGAGACAAGACCCCTGGCCTGCAGAAACTCTATTTTTGACTCGTGATTTCTTAACCCGTTGCCGCCCCTCCTCAAAACGCCAGCCCTTGTTGCGGGGACGTGATAGTCGCCCTCCAGAAAAAAGTTGCAGTCAGCTTCAAATGGGGCCCACAGTCTCAGATGTATTGAGATATATTGAGCTGCTAGGCCTGGGGTTTGCAGGGCAATATTTTGAGCAGAGATGGGAAGACAAAAAGGCAGTTGTGTGTGTGTGTGTGTGTGTGTGTGTGTGTGTGTGTGTGTGTGTGTGGTGTTTGTAGTACTGTGGAGGATAGCTATGAGAGGCCTGGGCCCATGGGTACCCTATTGTATTTGTTTCCTATGTCTGCTATTAACAAAGTACCAAAAAACTTGGTGGCTTAAAACAACACAAATTTGGGCCAGCCAAGTGGTGCGTTGGTTAAGAGCTGGCTTGGGACACCAGAGGGCCCCGGTTCGGATCCCACATATGAAGGGCAGTGACACTGACCTCTGCAGCTAAGATGGTGAATGGCAGCTCGACCTGGAGCTGGGCTGCCATGAGTCGCCGGCGGCGTAGGCTGCAGTCCCCGCTGCACTGGGCTGCCATGGGCTACCATGTGTGGCCGGCAGCCAGCGTGAGCGGCCAGCAGCTGCCGTGAGTGGCAGTCCAGAAGCCAGCGACTGATCTGCCTCACCCGGGAAGAGTGCAATGATGGTGCCAACTTGGGCCAGTGAAGCAACGTCCTCCACAACTAGACTGAAGAACAAAAGGACAGCAACTTGTCTGTTCCCCTTCCCCCAATTCCCCAGAGTTGTTCCCATCCCCCAATTCCCCAATAAAAATCTTAAAAAAAACAAAACCACAAATTTATTATCTTAAAAGTTCTGGAGGTCAAAAGTCCAAAATAGGTTTTGCACTTGTGGGCTTGCACTGGGCTAAAAGCAGGTGTCAGCAAGATTGCATTCCTTCTGAAGGCTCCAGTGGAGAATCTGTTTCCTTGCTATTTCCAGCTTTGAGAGGCTGCCTTCATTCCTTAGATTGTGGCCACATCCCTTCTGCTTCGGCTTCTCTTGTCCCATCTCCTCTGACTCTGAACCTCCTATTTTCCTCTCCTAAGGATCCCTGTGATTACATTTAGGGCCCACCCAGAAAACCAGGATCCTCTCCCCATCTCAAGATCCTTAACTCAATCACATCGGCAAAGTCCCTTTTGCCATTTAAGGTGACAAATTCACAGGTTCTGGGAATATGATGCAATATTTTTGGGGCCCCTCATTCAGCCTACCATACCTACATCCACCTATGTACAAGTCTATCTTATCTGTCTATAATATATATTTACATATATAATTACACATAATATCATATATATGTACATACAACATCTAATGTATATAACATTATATATATGAGTATATGTGTAACATGATGGTGGCCTAGATGGCGGTCCCAGGTATCTACAAAAGCCATAGCCTTCACAATGACCTGTAAGTAGGGTAATTATGTAATTTTCCATTTATAGTGAGACACTTGAGAGTGAAAATAGACACTATCAATACTTACAGAATACCAGGCATAAGTCAGGACTTCTAAGGTCCCATGAGATCTGTTTCCTCACCTCTTTTCATTTTAGTCCCCACCCCTGCTCCCCTGCAGCCACATTGGCCCCTTCAGTGTGTCTGCAACACACCAGGCACACTCCCACACAGAGCCTTCACACTTCCTGTTTCTTCTTGGTGCTCTATCTAAAATAGCTTTCTGGACAAACACTTCCTATCCCCCTTCCCTGCTTGTCTTCTTTTTACCACTGATCAAACTATCTAAGAGACTATATATTTTGCTTGATTATCTTGATTAATCATTTCCCTCATCCACTAGAATGGAGCGCCATAGGGCAGGGATCTTTGTTGGTTTGGTTCGCTGCTATGCCCTCACCACTTGCAACAGTGCCTAACTCAGACTTGGCACTCAATAGAGGTTCATAGAATGAGGGTTGTTGACCAGGAAACTAGAAAGGTTCATGTGTACAGTCTGTAGGGGACTCGGGGGTTAAATGGATGCTTCACACGTTTGGGTAACTGATATACGGGAGTCCTGGATGATGTGGAAATCTAGCTGAGCACAGATCCATGAATATGCTAAAGGGGGAACATATGATTATATCAAGACTCCCACGAAGATCTAGGGGACCCTGTGTGGGCATAGAGAATACACAGGTGTCTAAAAACATGCCCAGGGGCCCCAGGGGGTTCTAGAAGTCTCTCTGTAGGAGCACTGAGGATCCTAAAACATCTGAGAACATGTGCCATGGGCTGTGGGTGGATATGGGGCCCTGATGCTGGTAGAGAAAGGAGACCCCCGGGGGGGGGCAGGTTTGGGGGCCTGGGGAAAGAGATGAGTGGGGTTGGCAAGTCTCCAAATTTCTTCCTTCTCTCTGCCTCTATCCAAATTTCTTCCTTCTCTCTGTCTCTATCTTTCTGTGCCCCTCCAATCTGTCCCCATCTCCCTCAGCATCTAGCCCTCCACCTGTGTGTACCCCCGCTTCTATCCCTGTCTTTGTACCTCTCTCTCTCTGTAGTTCTCTCTTTCTACATCTCCCTGTTTCTCTCCAGCTATTTTCCAAACCTGTCCCTACACCTGGCCATTTTTCTGCCCCTTCTCTGACTGGCTGTTTCCCCATTTCCCACCTCTCTGATTCTCCACCTTATCCCTTGCTCTACTTTCTTACAGCTCTGTCCCCATCTCTGTGCTTCTTTTTCCATTCCTTTCTTCTCTTCTGTCTCTACCCACCTCTGCCCGCTGTATTCCTGCATCTCCCTCTTCTGCCCCAGCCGGGTCCCTGGTCCTCTCCATCTCTCTTGTTGCCAACTCTTTATGTGGAACTTCATCTCCATTTGTGCAACTCCATCACTGACCCATCTGTCTGCTCCTCATCTCTCTCCCTCCTTCCTCTCTTCTGCATCTCTCCATCCCTCCCCGCATCCCCCCACCTCCTCTTCTCCAGCTCACATATCTTATAGGAGTGGAATTCACAGGGTCAGCCAGACAACGACCACTGAGGAAATGTCACAGCCAGAAGTTTCGTGTTCCGGTTCATGAAACACGAACTGCACATGAAAAC